GGGAAAGATAGGAACTCAGCAGCCATGCATTGCCTGCAGATGTTATACTTTAAGCCTCAGCTCATTACCACTGACATTTTGTTTCAGGAAATTACCTTTCAAAAGGTTGTAAGATAGGGCTGTCAGCCATTGTCAGACAGAGGAACTTGAACAAGTTAGCAAAAAATTCTTGGAATGCTTAAGGGAATAAAAAAATTACGTACTAAAATGTGCTTGACATTCACATTTTCTACTTTGGCTTATCTTGAAAAATATACAGATGGTCATTTCAGCATACTCACCTCAGCTAGGTAAAATTCATCGTATTGTCTCTTAAAATTTTCTCCTTTGTAGTAGTTACTAGCAGCAACAATCACATCTACAGCCACCATGCTTAGTATGAACATATGAAACACGGATGACCTCATCATTTTCTGCAAAAGAAAATTTTATCATCAAAATGAGTCAGACCACATGTATTATACAGTTTTATTACACTGTCAAAACATAATCAGTTATAATAATATGTTTTTATAAAGCTTCTTTACATGACTGTAATTTACTAGTCTTTAAAATGTATTCAAATGTATTACTTCAACTGGTTGGGTTGTGGGGTTTTTTTCTTTTTTTTTTTAATTATTTTTCAGTTTTTTATTTGCCAATAGACTACTTACTGAAGTTTTATCATTTATAGAATCATAGAATCATTCTGGTTGGAAAAGACTCTTAAGATGATTGAGTTCAACAGTTAACCTAGCACTGCCAAGTCCAACCACTAAACCATGTCCCTAAGGACCACATCTACACATCTTTTAAATACCTCCAGAGATGGTGACTCAACCACTTCCCTAGGCAGCCCGTTCCAATGCTTGATAACCCTTTCAGTGAAGAAATTTTTCCTAATATCCAATCTAAACCTCCCCTGGCACAACTTGAGGCCATTTCCTCTCATCCTATCACTTGTTACTTGGGAGAAGTGACTGACACCCACCTCACCACAACCTCCTTTCAGGTAGTTGGAGAGAGTGATAAGGTCTCCCCTCAGCCTCCTCTTCTCCAGACTAAACACCCCAGTTCCCTCAGCTGCTCCTCACAGGACTTGTGCTCCAGACCCTTCACCAACTTCATTGCCCTTCTCTGGACAGCTCCAGCACCTCAATGTCCTTCTTGTAGTGAGGGGCCCAAAACTGAACACAGGACTCGAGGTGTGGACTCACCAGAGCTGAGTACAGGGGAACGATCCCTTCCCTTGTCCTGCTGGCCACACTATTTCTGATACAAGCCAGGATGCTGTTGGCTGCCCTGGCCACCTGGGCACACTGCTGGCTCGTATTTAGTCAGCTGTCGACCAGCACCCCCAGAGCCTTTTCATTTAATCATTGAATCAATGAATATAATTTAATATGATATTCATTGTTTTAGTACGTTTTTAAAGCATAAACTGTACCTGTAACTACTCAGTTGCCTTGGTTAATACTCCTTCACTATGATTTCTTCATGCAGATCTTAATGACTTATTGCTCAGGAACAAGTAACATCAACTCTATCTTGTGCATTGCTTTTGCTCAAGAAAGGCAAGTAATATGGTATTCATCTGATGTCAAACTATTGCCTAAAAGTATAAAACATATCTACATTTAGTAGATATACACATCTAGGCCAATGACCTGTGAAGTAATTCACAGATAATTCATGTATCTGTGCACACAATGCTTTGTGTCGCTGCTGCTGCAATCTCACAAGAGAAAAGAGAAATGGAGGCATGCAGCACTGGCCTAAAGTTTACATCCATGAGTTGCCAAAACAGTAGTGGTAAGAGGTACGCCAGAATTTCAAAGAACTAACTTCTCGGCCTCCACCACAAAGAGCATGGACTTATGATTTACCCTGTAAACTTAACCACTGCCCTCACCGGGCCAGCCACAGCTGTTCCAGTAGAAGCTGGAGTTAAACAGGCAGAATGTAGTGTTTGAATCTTGACCATTCATCTTTGAATGAATGGTCACTAATATCTATATTTTTTACAATCTTTCACAAGTAATACAGTTTATGTCATTAATGCTTATTTGCAAACACAACATAAGTTATGCACCATTATGGTTCTTTGTGTGTAAATTCAAGTTGTGTTCACATTGGAAAAAGCCATTTTTATTTGCTCCTGAGTTTATATGTAAAGGTGCCTGACAAAATTTCAGGCAGAATAAAACTTAAAATATGGAAGAACTCTGCTTCTTCTCAACTTCTTCCTAGAGACTATGTGTGCCTGTACCAGTCTATATTCACAGAATCACATACAGGTTTGAAAGGATCTCTTGAGATTATCGAGTCTACCCCTGCCTGCTCAAGCGGAGTCAGCTAGAGCAGGTATTCCAGAACTGTGTCCAGTCAGGGTTTGAATATCTTGATAGATGAAGACTGCACAACCTGCCTGTGCAACCTGCTCCGCTCTTTGACCATCTCCACAATGAAAGAGAGTTTTCTTGAGTTCAGATGTTCAAAATTAGACAATATGTCCCACTGGGAGACAGAAGAAAAATAAGATCACAGAATCTCTGAGATTGGAAGGGGCCTCTTGAGATTATCTAGTTCCACCCCTCTGCTCAAAGCAGCGTCACCTACCGAAGGTTGCTCAGGACCACATCTAGTCAGGTTCTGAGTACCTCGAAGGATGGAAACTCTACAGCCTGCCTAAGCAACCTCATCCTGTGTTTTTACAGTGAAAAAATTTTTCTCATGTTGAAATGGAACTTCTTGGTCTTTCAGTTTGTGCCCATTGGCTCTTATCCTACCACCGGACACTATTGAGAAGAGCCTGGCTCCATGTTCTTTACTTCCACCCATCAGGTATTTTTCCACACTGGTAAGATATCCTGACCTTTATTTTCTCCAGGCTAAACAGCTGCAGCTCTCTCAGCCTTTCCTCATATGGAAGATGCTCCAGCCCCTTTACCATCTTTGTGGCGCTCTGATAGACTCAGTCCAGTATGTCCACATCTTTCTTGTACTGAAGAGTCCAAAACTGGACACAACATTCCAGATGGCCTGAGTAGAGGGGATCATCTCCCTCAGCCTACTGGAAATGCTCTTCCTAATTCTTCCCAGAGAATTGTTGGCCTTCTTTGCCCCAAGAGCACATGGCTGGCTCATGTTCAACTTGTTGTCCACCAGGATCCCCAGGGCCTTTTCTGCTAAACTGCAGCTGATTGGTGCCAAGCCTTTACTAGTGCATGCAGTTATTCCCTCTTTGGTGTAGCACTTTGCTTTTTCCTTTGTTGAACGTCATGAGGTTCCTGCTTGGTCAGTTCCCTAGCCTATCGAGGTCCCTCTGAATGGCAGCACAACCATCTAGTGTATCGGCCATTCCTCCCAGTTTTCTATCATTTGCACACTTGTTGAAGGTACACTCCTTGCCATTATCCAGATCATTAAAGAGGGTATTGATGAATCAAGAGTGGCCTTGCAATAACAATGGTCAGCTCCCTTAGCAATCATGGGTGCTTCTCATCAGATTCCATATGCATTTGTATGTCCAGTTTGTTTAAATGTTTCTTAACTTGATCCTCTTCCACCAAGAAGGCATTATGGCTCTACACTTTCTCACAAGTCTCGGGGGCTTGAGATTCCTGAAAGTCAGTCTTACTCATCAAGACAGAGGTGAAAAAGGCATTGAGTACCTCAGTCATTTCCATGACACCAGGTCCCCATACTCATTCAGCAGCAGGCCCACATTTTTCCTAGACTTCCTTTTGCTGCTCTTATATCTGTAGAAGCCCTTCTTTTGGCCATCCATGCGCCTTGGCAGATTCAACTCCATGTGGGCTTCGGCTTTCCTAACCCTATCCCTCCACTCTCAGACAGAATCTTTGTATTCCTCCTGGGCCACCTGGCCCTGATGCCACCTCTTGCATGTTTCCTTTTTACTTTCGAGTTTTGTCTAGATTTTTTTGTTCATCCATGTGGGCCTCCTGCCACATCTGCTTAAATTCCTGTGCTTGGAAGGGGACGATTTTTGAGCTTGGAGGAGGAGATCCTTGAAAATCAACTAGCTCTTCTGGACCCTCTTCTCTCTAGAACTGTATCTCATGGCATTCTTCCAAGCAGATACCTGAACATGAAAAAGTCTGCTCTCCTGAACACCAGGGTTGTGGTTCTGTCTTTGGGCTTTGTTCCTTCCTTGCAGGATCCTGAACTCCACAATCTTGCGGTCATTGCAACCAAGACCGCCCTGAACGTCACAACCTGACCACTTCCTCCTTGTTTGTATGTATGAGGTCCAATCAGAATACCTGCCCTCATCAGCTCACATGTGTTAGGAAGTTACCATCACTGAAATCCAGAAATCTGGATTGTCTCCTGCTGTGCTGCCCTTGTAGCAGATATCAGAGTAGAGAACCAGGGCTTGTGAATGTGAGGATGTCATAGAAGAATGCAAAAATTAAGTAACACACACTTTTACATTTGTAAAGATATATTAATGTGTTAGAAGATTCATATATACAGTTGTAAAATACTGTCTCAGTCTTTGGTGAGCTGAGGTTGTTACATCGATAAAGAAGTGTCCACATTTACATTTTATATTTAACCCTGCCTGGAGCTCAGGGTCTTGACCAAGCCACTCTTCATACTGCTGGGGTTTTTTTGTGATCAAATTAGAACACGATATGGTAAGTATGGGAGGCTGCAAGGACTAGCACTCGTTCAGGCTTTTAGCAAAGACTTGTACCTGCCTACAGGAGAATTCATGTCCTGTTGAGTTTCACTGGTGTTTTAAGGTAGTTTGCGTGAACTGAAGCTGAGTGGAGACTAAGACAGCTCAACACTCCTCATGCAAGCTGGCTTCCTTTTGACCCTAGTGGCATGAAATGGTTGTATATTCCAACCTAGAAAGGGAGGCTTAGGAGATAAAGCCTGACAGAAATTTACAGAAGAAGCCTGGGCTAAGAACAATGTCTAAAGTGCAGTGAAGTCATCAAAATAATAGAGTGGCTAAATGAGGTCTTGCTTTTATTTTTAATCCATGAGGCAAGCTATAAGAATACAATAATTGAACATAGGGCTATTGGCATCAATCATGCATTTTTGTCAGTGGTGTGATTCAAAACAGGTAGCACATTTCTATTTTACACAAGTTCTAAACAGATAGTTAGTCTCTCTGCATATTTTACACTGTATTTTTAATAGTGTCAAAATTTCCTTCATAGTAACCAAGTATTCTGCCTCAATTGTGAAAGGACTTGCTAAAAGGAACTAGTAAATGAGGCTGTCAAATGAACTTTTCTCTCCTGTCTCAAAAACTAACAGGGAAGCAAAATGGTAATACAGGAAGAATAAAAATGCATAAACTGCCTTGGTATACATGTACATATATGCATACTTTCTCATACAGTCTGTACCTTTGGACACTCATAAAAAAGATTTTCCAGTGGTATATTTA